TCTGCGTTCTGTCTTGCACTCGCCGCACCCGCCGCATTCACCTCTACGCCTACTGATGACGTGGCTGTGGCTGTGCCAACGCTTGGAGCCGTCGGTGTCGGTGCCGAGGAAGCCAACGAGCCTAGCGTCGCCGTTGGATGAGGAGAAGCTACGACGACCAACACGTCAGTCTCGTCGTTCTGCTGGATGGAGAGAAAGAAAAACTCACCCAGCGCCAAAGGCATCTCGACGTCTCCTTGCGCGTCTTTCTCCTTGCCATCCTTCTCTTCACCCTCCTTGCGCTCGGCCTGGGCATCTGCATTTGTCTCGACATCCAGCTCGACATCCATTTTCTCCTCCCTCTCGTTCCCCTCGTTCTTCCCTCCTTCATGCAGCGCACGCTCCGTCTCCTTCTCTGCCCGTTCCGACGACGCCTGCTTTGTTATTGACGGCATCAACACCTCCTCCCTCAACGGCGACGCCGGTAGCCCCTCCCTCACCGGCGAACTCAGCGGAGAGCTCATCGGTGAGGGCATCTCGAGGCGCTGCAACGAGGGCGGAATCTGCAGGTGTAGCTGTCCCTGCTGCCCTTGTCCGTGTGCTTGTAACGCCTGCTGCGTCTGTACCTGCGCCTGGAGCGAATGCGGGTGCAAGGAAGCAGGCGACAACACAGGGCTCGTCTGCTCCCTTTTCACCTCGACCTTCCACGGTGCTTCTCCACGCTGCGACACTCCTCCACTAGTGCGCTGTGATATGGGCGATGGGGGCATAGAGGACGAGCCCGACGCCACCCCCATGTCGATCTCGTCCAACCGCCCCGGCGCAGGGCTCCCCCCGCGCTGGAAGGAGTTGTTTGTTTGTAAGCGGGAGGGCGGTTTGTTGTTGTTCGCGTTCGTGGGGCGAGCTGTGGAAGAGGATGCTGAGGAGGGTGGGGGGCGCGTTGTAGAGGATGAAGGACGAGAGGTGGATGAGGAGTGGCGCGGGGAGTGGCGGGTGGGGAGCTGGAGCTGTGGAAGAGGGGATGTGTCAGTAAGAACAAGAGACGGATGATGAGCCAAACGAAAGAAAGTAAGGATAAAAGAGGAGAGCGCGGAAAGTGGGAGGACGAAGGAAAGATGCGGGGAATTGGAATGGGAATGGGAGTAGGATAAGGAGTATTCGAATAAAATCATCCGAGCACACGACAAGAGAAAGACGGAAAGGACGAGCAACAAGAGTACCGAAAACCCACCTCCGTAAACACCCCCGCATTCGGGTGCAGCCTCGTCGTCCGCCTCGTGATGTACACGCGCTGGTGTGGCGCTGCCTCGCTCTCATTGCCATTTTTGCGAGTCGTGGATGTGGATGTCGGCGTCGGCGTATCGGGATTGGGATTCGGATTAAGTCGGCTTTGTCGGGTTTTGGTGGGTGTCGCTGTCGCTGTGTCGGGATTGAGTCTGCTCCTGGCCGAGGGCGTGGGCGTCGCGGTGTCCGAATCGTCCCCAGGTGAGGCGCGGCCCTTGCCTTTGCGGGTGGTGGGGGTCGAGGTGGGGGTCTATGTGAATGAGAAGTGTGGTTAGTATCTGCACGTAAAAGAGGACGACTAAACAGAAAAAGACGAGTGTAGAGGAAAGTAAGTCGAAAAGAAGCTGAAAATGAAAGAGATGCATTTTTTCAAGTTTTTTTGAAAGAAAGGGGCCGAAAAAAGTGGGCGCAGACCCAAAAATGAGAGTAAGTAGACCAGCCTCAGCCGCAACGAGGAGAGGTATGTATCGCGCTCCTCTCCGATCCCGCTCTGCAGAGCGGGGGAGAATGTGGAACAGACAAAGGAAAAGGCCGAGAAACGTGTCGCTGCGCCACACAAGGAAAGTCGTGCTGCGCCACACCCATGCAGGCGCCTGAATGGATAACGATGTACGCCGCAAGCGATACCCGAGTCCATAAGAAGCAAGCGGGGGATGGAAGCCAAATCGCCGTCGTGGGCACCATCATCAGCACCTACTCCGCCATCACGACGACCTCCCCCGTGTCATCGCCACCTCCGCAAACCCGACGGGGACAGCGCGAGAACTGGAGCCCACAGGCAGACAAAGAGCATCGGGAATGGAAGAGGAAAAAAGACAGCAGCTCGAGAAAGTAGATGATGGAGGCAAAAGCAGGATGCAAAAAAAGACGAGGAACGAAGCAACGATGACCAAAAAAGCGGAAGAACGAAAGAACGAATCATAACGAAAAAGCAGAAGAACGAATGAATGGTAACAAGAAAGCAGACGCTCACCTCGGCCGGACACCTCACGCGGAGGCGCTTGCGCATCCCCTCATCCAGATCAGGACTCTTGCGCTTCTTCGTTGTCCCTCCCGGTGTCGATGTGCTGGTACTGGTGCTACTGCTCCCCGCAGCCTCTCCCGTCGATCCCGAAGTAGATGCAGATCCCGAATTGTGCGAGTCAGCCTGTACCGGCGCCGAGAGCCGGCGCGACGCGCGGAGTCGGGTGTCCCTCGGCGTCGACGTATGTGTATCTCTGTGCGATTCCGCAAACGTGCTCTTCGTTGGACTGGATGCCGGAGAAGAAGGATTAGAGATGCGCGAGGACGACGCAACGGCTCCAGGAATGGCAAAGCGCGCGCTGCGCCTCGGCCTATTCTTCCCCTTCTCCCTCCCGTGTTCTTTCTCCTTCGTATTCGTCTTCAGGCCGTCAGCAAGCGGGCTCTTCGTGCCCGTGCGCGGCGTCATTCGGCTATGGCGGAGTCTCTCGCGCGCCACGCTGTGCGTCGTCGTTACGCTTTGTATATTTTCCGAGTGGATATCCCTGTGTCTGGTGGTGGCGAAAAACGCTTGCTTGTAGTCCCCGAGTGTATGGTGTGCTTGTGCTTGGATTGCGGCTGACTTGAGTGGCTGACGGAGACGGTGAAGGCGACGAGCACTCTGCCAAGCGCGCGCAAATACCAAACACAATACACCGCCCGGCGCGGCTATGACTCCGTGCCACGTGCCCACTCTCCGTCCTTTTCGCTCTGTCTCCCACACCGTCTTGCATCGTAGTACGCACAACCGAGAGCGGAAGGAAGAAGGGAGGAGCAAGGGGAGAAGCGACAAATGACATCTGAATTCCTTATGTCGCATCGATTCGAATTTCAGGGAAATCACCGCGACGAAAAGGAGATTTGACCCCATGGGTGCAGTAACAATTGACCCGCCGGCGACGTGCGCAACCCCATTCATTCGTTCATTCAATGGTAATTTCCTATCGAATCCATAACAGGATATCCCGCGACGCCGGAGGAATCGATTTGCGGTGATTTCCCTTGATTTGCGGGCGCTCGAGTCGGTGCGGGGATGTGGAGGGATTTGATCACCTCGCACTGCACATTTCCGCTTCGGGCGCTATCGTCAGGAACGCTGGCATGGAGGCTATTCAGGAACACGACAGACAATCCCCGTCATGCATATAAAGACATGATCCGTTGACGACCTAAAATATTTCCTCTTCAATGCTGCTTCTTCCTGTGTTTTTTCCTGTTCAGCGTTGCTTCTTCCTATCTTTTGCTCTTCAGCGCTGCTTCTTTTTCTTTCCGTCTGTCTTCTCTTGTCGTGTCTTCCCCAGATACGAAGCCGCTCGAATCGATGTCCCTTCTATGGAGCCTCGGGAGAACCCATCGCAGCACAACTCAATTTACATTGGATCACCGCATCACGACAAACCTTAATTTTCACCGTGACGATGCTTCCTTGCTTATCGTTTAAATTTACATCCACCGAGATCAACCTATGAAAATCAGCTCGTGAATTTTCACGCTGTCTTTTTACTTGGAGTCGCTTCACGCTTTCGTTATCTTGTCGTTTCCTGCCTCCTGGTAGCTCCTGATTATCTCGGTCTCGGCCCTCGACCAGTGCTAAAGTACCTATCCGCGACATCGACCTAGGACCTTCTCATCGCCCACGGCATCATGCATCACTTGTCAACCTAAATCCAACCCTGGGTCGCGGGTGCAAATCTACTTTCCACATGAACAATTGCAAGGTTGATCCGTCTTCACATGAAGCCGCTTTCCGCTGCCATCCAACTCTATCTTTTTGCTATCTTTGGTAAACTGGATTTTCATGACACTGGCGGAGATGGGCCCCGGCAGCAAATCTCAGAATCTGTTAAAAATCTCACAAGGTCGGGCGATCCGCCCCTCGGATTTTCTGTCATCCTGAAGATCTACGGACTGTCGTTTCTCCGATTTTCGCAAGTGTCAAGTGTGCGCGATCTCACGCTCTCCGAGTCCGCACCCTGACGGCAAGATGACAGAAAAGGCAGATAAGTAACTTGAACACAAAAGCCTGTTGACATTGATGCTATAATCCACGATATTATTATACAGCTTTTGAGTTCAACTTATTCTCTCTCTCAATGCAGCTACAGTTACGTTCGACGTCTGGATGTTCTCAAGAGTCTCAACCCTCAATAATTTCTCCACATCAACAGTCAACCTTGTCAAGGTTGACTGCATCTCAGCGCTGACGGGCACCCACACAAATCCAAAATCCTAGCCGCGAATCCCACACTCCCGGTCATGGGTCTGGTGTGATTTTGTGTGAATCTCACTTGACATCACACGGGATCTCACTCAAACTCAATCTCTCACCAACCCCGATCCTCTGAATCTCAGTCTGCTGATCCGTTGACTCATTTGGAGCGCGAAATCAACCATCTCGACTACTGCGGATGCGCAAGTCAGAGACAGTACGATAAAGGATTTGAGACAGCACGAGAAAGAATTTGAGACAGTAAGAAGAAAGAAGCTGAATCGTCACTGAATTCAAGATGGCCAACTCAACTCGATTCAGCAGGGTCACCTGGTGTTATTTTATTCAACCCCAAGCACGACCATGAATCAATTTCAGTTTCAACCCAGACAGTAAACTCGGAAAGGAATGTGCACACCTGCTCTCGGATCCAACAGATTTTGACAAGTCAACAAATCTCGTGGACTTGTTGCATTTTCACCTTTTCCTTCTGCGGGTCTAGGTGTTGATATCTCGAGAGTATTGCACAGCATCAGTGGGGTAGTGGTAACCTGGGTCGTTGCCAAAACGGTTTACGTAATAGTAAATCGACCCGCCGGGGGTTCGATTCCCTCCTGATGCATGACTCCTGCTCTCGTATCGTTTTTTTTCTTCCTCCACTAGCTTTGGTGACACAGAATTGATCGAAATCAGCTAGATACGTTCTCCTGAACGTTGTCCTATGAAGAGGATACTTAATTGGAGCCCCGCATTGCATCCTCTTTTTCTCGGCCGACATTAGATATTTTGATTATCTATCATCGCAAGATCCGTCCAGATTCTGCTTTGGCCAAGGCAACCCCTCGGACCACGGTTTCTCCCATACGTATCCGGAAACCCTCGTTGTCCACATATATCTTCCCGGCGCCGAATACAACGTGAACTGCAAGAGACGCAAAAATGATGGGACAGTCCCGATTAGGCTCGATATCAGAGTAATGATATCTTACATAATGGAGGACTGGTTCATTTTTGGAATAGCCCCCTGAGTGGGTTTATTTGCCCGAGAAGCAAGACGACTGCGCTGCCTCTGAGCACATATTGACACTCTGCCTTAAGCATCGGGGGTTGTGTTGTGCGATAGACCTCCCTGGCTTCACACGCATATTTAACAGCGGCGAGTGTCCTTTTTCTATTGTGTAGAGAGTCATGGGCAGAAATTCGTTGAAGGATGTTAGGGGATGTTCCGAAAGAAGGTACGTCACTTTCCCACGCGTAGATGATACGCGTCGCTGTGAGCCAAACACTTGAGAATAACGCAAAATACCTATTCGACGGCTACGCACCATACACGATGTTGTCAGTAATGAAATAAATCTCTTAAAGTTTATTGGAACCAACCAGGCTGGCCGTAATCGATCGTCTGGGGCAATTGGTTTTCGTCAACCATTGATTATTTCCCCTTTTAAGCTCATCTTGGGTGTGAAGTTGGGCGGATGGTGTGCATATAATCTGAGCGGATCGAAGTGTATTAGAGGTACATATTGATAATGGCGTAAATTAGGTCTCTTTATAGAGGGAGCCTCCATGAGCTCGACCGTAATCAGGATAACCAATGATGTCACCCACGTTCGAGAGAGGCGATTCGGAGACCTAACAATGAGCCATTCGGAGTCCGCTCCAGAAACTAAGAAATACGAAAACTAGTTAAGTCTAAAGGATAAAAGCAAAGGCCATAAAACACACTGAATCTGACTGGTGGATCCCATTTGCAGATACGAATTGATATCGCAGTCATTGGGAAGAGCGGAGTCATTTGCAAGAGCACAGCGCAGAAGGTCCGAGAAAATTTCAGGCAAGACAAGAGAGGGTAAATTCCAGGTCCGGAGTCGGTATTATTTATAATGCGTAGAGTATAGTACATAGCAACACGGAGCAGATGCAAGAGAAAGAGTCATAGGTATTCGATCAATCATGAGATTCGTCAAGTTCGTTAAAACGGGAGAGAATAAGTCCCCCGGAAGGGCATCGGGTCGTCCCTCAAAATCACCGGACCAAAACCAACCTCCAGCTGTCTGAGCCCTGGGCACAGCGTAGGGAATATTTCGAGCACACTCATCAGGTCCTGCCAAATTTCGTCGAGGGATGCGACCAATTGGAGCGCCTGCAGCGCGGGGAACGCGGACAGAAACAATTCCACGTCGTCGTATACGCCCTCGAAGTCAACCATGGCGCACAGAAACAGCTTTTCCACGAGGGGAAATTTGGGGCCGGGGGCGTCGGCGAGGACGTCAATGAAGTCGTACCAGATGCGGCTCTCGATGTCCAGAGAGTCGATACAAAGCGAGCGGACGGCGGAGGTGTCGAGTGCCTCGAAGAACGGGCGGCAGTCGTGCTGGAGGGAGCCATCCTCGTCCATATCTTCGCGCGGAGTGATGGAGAGATTGCGCAGCGTCAGGTCCTCGACGGCGGCAGGGGGCTTGTTCTCCATGTCGGCCGCCGTGGGGTAATCGAGAGCCGGGATACAGAGGTCCGCGATAAGCAGCTCGCGCGCGTGGCCACAGAGCCAAGGGTTGAGGCGGCCATTAACTGCAATGCCGGGGAATTCGTTGTCGATTTGCAGACGCTGGAGGTTGGGGAGCGACGGATCTCCCAGGGACACCCCCTGCAGTAAGGTATCATGCACGCCATGTCCGGCAGGAAGAGGAAAGACGAGATGGTGGGGTGGGGACAGGGAAGGCACATCTGCCGGGGCGAGGGTAGAGTCGGGGTCTGTGATGCAGCTCAGTTGCCACTGTTCCACCGCATCGTCGTTGTGGAGGTACAAAGTAAGCAACCAAGGGAAAGTCTCTCCCTCGAAGGCACGGAGGATATCAGTCCATGCCTCCTGCGGCGCATAGATACACAGGCGTTCGCAGCGGCACAGGTGCTCTCGGATGGCCCATCGGAGGAGGAGGTACCGCGCAACAGGCGTGATTGACTTCTCCTCTGCCGAAATTGACTTGTCCTTCGTCGAGATGGCCTCGGGGGAAAGGTCCAAGGACAGGGAGATGGGGCGGTTATGAGAGCGCGCGAGTACACGCGCAACGAGGTCGGGACGTTTGGCGTCCTCGGTCGTAATGCCAATCGTGGTCCAAAGCTTCGAGTGACCTACTGCAGCCACATGCCACTCGCGGCAGACGCCCGCGCAGTGGGCAACGGATGAAAAAGGTAACCACTCGAAGATCTCGCCGAGAAGTTCGTGTGGAAAGGATTGTATGAGGTTCATGGTGAGATAGGTACAGTCGGAAGAGAAGGATTGTTGTCGGGAAAAATCGCGCTGCGATGGGGGAAGATGAAAATAAGTGCTGGTGGCAAGCGCCTTTTATAGTATCGCAGCGTCACGTTGGCACGGTGGCCGAGTGTGGCCCGTCAAAAATGCAACAATGGGGACATATTACCCTCCGGGGATCGTCTTTCATGGTCTATAATTGTACGCGTGAGCCCAGACCAAAGCCCAGCATCCTGGATTTCGCTCACAAAGATCGCAATGGTTCCATTCCTTGTGGCGCAGAGTCTGTGCGAGCTTAGAAGACTGTAAGGACGAAGCACCGAGGCGTTTCATTTAGAAGTCCGGCGCGCATGCCAGACTCGCAGGGCAATAAAAATATACACTCGCAGGGATTGTTGATGACCGCCTCTCTCAGGAACGAAATACTGACTTCGAGAAGACGCTACTAGCAACTGCGCTCAGCTTTGACCTGATGATCTCCATCAGTTATCTCTGACCTGGTCCAGGCTACGCACATCTTCCTCGTTCGACGGAAATTCTTTTGTAATATCCCCAGAGCACCCACTGACTCTTTGGACCGCAATCACCGGGGTACAGCAGTTACGTGGCGTTACATCTCGGGCAGATGCGGGATATTCTGTAGCATCGGCGTCAGTGTGGGAAAATGTAATTGTTGACAAACCTGACGATATCGACTGCTATAAGAAAGCATATAGAGAACGTCTGCCAACTCGGGAGGTTACGCGAGGCTGAATCTAGCCAAACCCGTGAGCAACCGGATCGAATATGAATGATCTGGCTTAGACTCGCCTTCAACAATTGGGCGTATTGGATGCACTAAGTCATTTCCCTCTATGCCCTTGGCGGCCAACGATACTACTTATCCATAGCCAAAAGCGGGCAAGGGAAGAAGGGGAAGCTCTCTTAAATTATTGAAGGATCGTCACGAAGGGGGATGTAGAGCGCCATCGTTCGCCAGGATCTGGTAACGTACGACGAATAACGGCGCACTTCGAACATTGAGCGGAAATATCGTGTCGATGAGACGAAGGCGGGAGCGAGTCAAGAATACGTCGACAAGATGTAGCTGCTTTTGAAGGTGGGTCTCGATCGGAGCTTGAAACGCAGCGCACCTAATAAGATTTTCTCTTTCAGCAAGCTCAGAAGTGGGTAAGTTCTAGGTACGTGCATTCAATTCAGCATCCGGTAGTCGTACCCTTCGAGTCTGAAAAAGATTATCAGCAAGGAGTCCGACGATAAGACCTGAGCCCAGCAACTTGCAAGCGTCTTTGTTCGCCAGCTCCAAGTCTGGACTCTTTTCAGCTTCCCGAGCTGCGTCCAGAGTTAATGATTATTTCGGTAGGGTACATCGACGGACATGGGTGAAGCACAACGCAAGACGCACAGCTCAGCTCTGGGCCAGAGCTGAGCTGATACAGAAAATCGCCAGAGCCTCTGGCGATTTTCTGTATCATGGATGTGGAAGGAAGAACATCAGCAAATCAGCGGAGAGCGGATCGGGGCGGGTCACGCTGCCCAGTTGGGAAAATCTGATGGAGGCGATATACGCCATCACCAGCGCTCACCAGTTCAATGTTAGCTGTGGATGGACTTATGAGGAGTCGTCAGCTCAGTACCAGGTTTCTGTCTCAGCATGAGGAATCACAACATGGGCACCGTGCAGATATTCCGGGTGAGCTGTGTGCATCGCGCCCATGATTTATATAAAAAAAGCTCTTAAGATTGTATATCTTCCCGGAAGAGTCGCATGAGTATGTCTCCTGCTGGAGTCCTGCAGATTTCCGAAGGTTGCGTGCGGCACACCCCATCAACACGTGCGTGGTCCGTGCGCGCATGTCGATCTTTGTTGATGGTTTGATGCAAGTTGATGCATGTCTCTTTCTTTTCCCCCACCACCACGATTCCCCGCTTGTCGTATTCGCTGCTTCCCCTCGTCGTATTCACCTTCTGTCGGTTTCCAATCACTCAAGATGGACTTCACTTGTGGCTTGCTCAAGCTTACTCAAGGTCCCTCAAGATCCCTCAAATTCAGTCTTGTCGTCGTCAAGCGTCAAGCCTTCCTCAAGACTGCGAGTTCTCTCCTCAATCCCCTCAATGTGGCCGATGTGTACAACACCTACCTTATCCTCTTGCTCTTCAAGCACCAAGCACTCCCCAGTTTCCGGGTGTCGCGCTGATTCCGCACGAGCCATCTGTTACGATGCTGGCTCTGTCGATGAGATGCGGGAACGGTGGGCCCCTGGTGGGTGTATGTAGCTCTGTAATGTATCTGCTTCCCAATATATATCATTTATTATCTCTTTCCATGTGTGAAAAGCCGGTGAGGGGGAGAGGGATTCGACGATTAGCAG